GTCTCGGGCGACAATGCACAATTCGGTTGGACCTAGAGCAATAGTATAAATCATGTTGGTTGCAATGCTTTTTCATCACCTTTTATAATCCTTATAAATTTTTTAGCATATTTGTATCAGTGGAATTTGGTTAAAAATAAGCAATAATTCCATCAGAATTATAATGGTTGGCGCTTCTGCTAACGGATGGTCTCTTTGGCATGTTAAGCCCCACATTATACATGTATGCAATCTTAACGGCATGTATTTCAGCACATGAGAACATTATCTCTTGTTCAAACATGGTCGTTGAGGCAGAAAAGCTGGGACAAGCATGATAAGAAGGTAAGTGAGCGCTTAGCCTTACAAGGGAGGCTGATAAGCTTATAAGGGTTATCTCCAGTGAAGTCATTGTACAGAACTGTATAGGCGTCTTAAAACAAACTAGAAAATATATATTTTCTTTAAAATGGTTAAACATGGGTTTGTTCTTATTACAGTCAAAACCATTTTGAAAATATTTTGCTGAAAATAATCTTCAACATGTTAAAACACTTTTTTGTTTTTCTGTCCCCTGTTTCTTGACAAAAAGACCAAGAAAGCTTGTAAAAAAACATTATTTGGTCTGAACAGGATCGGCCTGTTGTTACTGGAAATCATATCAGGGACTGGTCTTTTAGTATAATCGGAGTGGGCTAGTGGGATTGGTCTTAGGTAAGTATCATATTTTCCTGGCCCCCGCCCCTCAAAATAAAAATAAAATAAATTATGTAACATTTTTCATGCCCCACCCCCCCTCCAAATACATGTAACATTTCCTCATGCTCCTCCACCCCAACCCCCCCCCCCTTTAATGACCTCCCTTTTTCGCTGTTATTTTTTGTATGGAAAAACACACACGCCCTAGTCTTTTATGTTTTCATATCGTGTCTCTTCCTAGCAGTGGATGGCTACATGGTTACTGATTCAGATAAAAGACAATATTTACACACACATACTTTCAACATATTTCAAGTAAACGTCTGAGGGTGGATTGGATGAAAATCATATACTTGATATATTACTGCTTTTGGAGGAAATTATACTTCAGTCTGAACTATTTCAATCTTAAAGTCTATCTAATTTTATAATGAATGTTGATTCCAAACATACAGCAAAAAGAGAAGTGTGACTATGAATAATTCAGCATCTTCGTCTTCTTGCCTACTGGAAACCTGTCGTATCTTTTCAAAACACGCTAAGCATGTCAAATGTACAGCTTGATAGTACAGACAGATAAGAGTTCTCTTTTAACATATGTTCAACGCCAGCATCAACTGGGCACTATAAAAGTACATGCAGCAAACAGTTTTGACAGTTTCAGATCAACTGCATTCTTACGTAAAATATGCAACATTAAGACATGAAAACCACCATTATCCAATTATTTCAAGTTGCTTGAGTACAAATACTCCTATGAATCACTCAGCATAATTACCCAATATATCCTGGGTTTCTTAACAGATCTCTTTTCACTAATCAAACACAGGCATCACTTCATTAACTGTAGTCTACTGCTGTGAATAATGCTAAGGAAAATGCGATGCGTCTTGCTCACTCTTGGTAATATATGGGTCAACACACGAACAGACACAAACTAGAAGTCACCTGAGTGAGTGAGTGAGTGAGTGAGTGAGTGAGTGAGTTGGGTTTAACACCGCTTTTAACATTATTCAAGTTATATCCTGGCGTGTCAGCTTAATGTGGGAGGAAAGCCCCAAGTGATGCAGGTCTCAGATGTTTACCACTTCGGTGAAACCCATGAGCATGGGTATGGTGCTGACAAACCTAGAAACATAATCAGAACGAACTGGGATTTGAACCCACAATCATAGGTTTCTGGCGTGCCCAAGGGACGCAACTCTGCACAGCGAATTGCGGCGCCTTAGACGACTGGGCCACCCGTGCCCCCAGAAGTCACCTGAAACCAATGTCCGATATAACTGCCTGCCCAGCTGCCCGTGGCTGTAACTTTTTTGTCTGGCTGCATGAAATTTTCCTTCACCAGCATAACTGTAGGCAGGTAATTTTAAGACTATTTACACATTCTGTGTTATTATCATGATTATAACTCCTTGTAGATTCTCAAGTAATTGTTTGCATTATTTCAACTTAAACACAATGTGATTTGTCTCTTATGCTTTTTGCAATATTTCAATATTCATATTCATATTCAGGCAGGTAACTTTGAAGATTGACAGGTAAGACTATTGGCCACCTGCCTGACTGTCTGTCTTGTGTCTAAAAATCATTTCAAACAGTGTTTGAAACAGCATTTCAAGCAGGATTATTAAAAAAACTCATTGGTGCAAAATACCCAAAGGGAATGGTGAGTGAGATTGGTTTTACGCCGCTTTTAGCAATATTCCAGCATTATCACGGCGGGGAACACCAGAAATGGGCTTCACGCATTGTACCCATGTCGGGATTCGAACCCGGGTCTTCGGCGTGACGAGCGAACGCCTTAACCACTGGGCTACCCGACCGCCCCTCCAAAGGGAATGGACCCAAGGATAATAAATGTGTTGAATACAACCCCCCCCACCCAAAAAAAAAAATAAAAAAAAATATCAATACCCATTGTGAATGATAACTTGAGTAAATACTCAATGGCTAAAGAAACTATCTGAGCCTGTATTTACCATGTTAACATCTTGGTCACTTGGAGATGCAATGTTGAAATAACGCAGGTCAGATTGTGTGAGTTTCAACCATTGTTGAGTATTGGTTTCACCATCGTTATTGGTTAGGGTATTGTTAATGAAGCCATGACAGTTATAATTTTTATTCTACCATGAATTTGGAATTTACTCGATTCTGATTGGTCAATCAGAGGCTATTAAATCACAATAAACCCCCTCTGATTGAAACAGCTGGTTTGACGGCCGCATCCCCGCGGAAGCTAATACTCACAGAATAGTACTATTTTCAGTCTTTGTCGGTAGGCATATTTGAATAAATATATCTACAATTACAGGTTACAAAATGCACAGATGCGGTTACTACAATATTCAAAGGATGTGTGGCGATACATTTCGTGCAGAAAAACACGACATAAATCAACAAAGGGAATGTATTTACGTTTTGGAGACAACATGACAACAGAGAGCTTGAATTTTGGCGCTTTTCTATATACGACTGTGACGTCATATCTTTTGCATCACAATGAGGGATATGACGTCATAATGGTGACGCGGGATGTAGAGCGAAAGCCTTGCAAAGCTTACTTTGTTTTCTTTAGGGATGCCCACCTCATGTTAGCTTACCAAGTTGCCGTGCTTATATGCTTTCAATGCCTGTCAAATGTTCGAGCGAAGTATTACGGTGTAAACAAACTGCTTGAGTATATACAGCACCATATTTTGTTCGGTGATTCCTTAATTGAGATCGATAACCCACTCAAAACACTGAACTCAACCCATGCCGCTTCACTCAGTATATTTGCTAACACCAAAGAGTTCGCATTATATTTAGTCATGGTAGAATGGAGATAAACATACTGTGTTTTCAATGTAGAGCTAGGTCACCTGTAGATTTAACCCCGCTAAATTTAACATTTGAAACCTCACGCTGCGCGTTCGGTTCCAAATTCAATTTAACGGGGTTAAATCTACAGGTAACCTAGCTCTACATTGAAAACACAGTATGTTTATCTCCTAAATGATCAAAATTGAATTAGAATAGAAAAAACTCATAAACATGTCAAAAACCTTTTTTTCAGTAACCTTACATGGAAAATAATTTAAATCTAACATACGCATTAATATTAATACACTCTGCAACCCAAATAGCATGCATATATCCACCAGCTAATATTGAATTGGAAACAGGCATTGACAGCTTTCAATGTTTCATATTATATTCGCATATACTCTACAATTACTCATCAAATTCACTTAAAAATTTACTAATTGACATCATTAAGAGATAATAGCTGACATATATGTCATGGTTGATACCATGGAATCTTATCAAAAGTGCCACATTAATGAAGGAAAATATCAATTAAACTTGTAATCACTACTGTCTACACAATTAATACATTTAGATTGTATATATGAACAATGTATGAATAGTGAGTGAGTGAGTGAGTGAGTGAGTATGGTTTTACGCCGCTTTTAGCAATATTCCAGCAATATCACGGCGGGGGACACCAGAAATGGGCTTCACACATTGTACCCATGTCGGGAATCGAACCCGTGTCTTTGGCGTGACAAGCGAACGCTTTAACCACTAGGCTACCCGACCGCCCCACAATGTATGAATACAGAATAATGTAGAATTATCACCATCAATGATCAAATTGCACTAACTAATGATTCCTGAGAATACATCGTTGTCTCCTTTATTACAACAAGGCGGGGATGCTGAGGACTTATTTCCCCCCCGAATGTTTATAGGTTGTCGTCTACTGTGTCAGCATAATTGGTCCACGCCACACATTATAAAAGCGTCCTTTTTTCCGTTTTAGTTAAACAAATCTTATTGTCTAAAAGACAATCATCACTTACAAGCTGGAAACGTTTGGTTATAAACAATCATTTTGTGGTTAATAAATTATTGTTTCAATTGTAAATATTATTTTCCTGTAACCAGAATAGCATTTACTTCCATTAATGTTATAGTGAAGCATTTGAGACTGAATATTCATACATTTATAAGAAAAACTCACAGATAGATAGATTATACAAGCACTTAACATGCTTAAGGGATATAAGAAGCATAGGGATATATATCACAACGGGACATAAAGCTGATGAAGTTTGTGACATGTTTGTCAATTTATGTAATTTATTTGTGGCAAATGTTACACAGTGTGACAGATCTCGGTAGTTTGTTGTTGTTTACCTATACCGCCTTGCACGGTTACATCACCAGACTGTAAACATGTATCGATTGAGCACACATACTTCCATCAGCATCACTGCTGGTTGTCGTATTAATACATATTTGCCACGATCAGCAGTTATATCAATCCTCACCTCAAATGTTTTACAATAATTTCATCCTCTGTTATTTTGGCCCATGAACCATGCAACGAATCTCTGCACCAGCTGTAGGCTTTGCGCCGCACATCTCTCTCGCTTACAACATCGCCTTCCATTGTCGACTCGCCTCTCCGAATACCGAACAGCGACGCTAGTATATGTAGGATCTTCTTCCACGTGCTTAACAATATAGGTAGCATAGTCAATCCAGGGAGGTCAAAGTTCGCGGGCAACACCTGGCCCAGATAAAATTTGATAAACACAAGCATGGAAATCGTTGCTTCTAAACCCGCATCACTGTATCCGGCAGGGGGAGTAACTCTAATGCCTGCAATTTTCAGAGAGTTCCAATAATGGCACCGAATCGAGTATGGTATTGACTTTCATTCAAAGACGATAAGTGTTGAGTTGACATTTGTTGGAGTAAAAATCAATATTCACCGTCCGTGTTTTAAATATATTTAGACATACACAATGCGGAATCTGTCACGATCTTTCAGAATATGTTGTCAATTGCAGCTGATACCACGGACTTGTTATATAGGTCCGTGCTGATACGAAGTTCCCACGTGCTGTTGTTGCGAAACAAGGTGACACACACCATGCAGTTTTTTATCAGGTGTTTATTATTGTATGTTTTTTTAGCTGTCCTTAAAGATTAGCTGCATTTACAACAAAATCAACTGATAACAACGTTTCAAATGGATATTTCTTTCCGTGTACCCTGAGGGTTCTTAGGGAATACCCCGCTTTAATCAATACATGCGCAGAAAGACATGACGCAATTTCACAAAGAGCTTTCGGCCAATGGCTATTGAAGTGTCTGGGTTCACGTGATACGACGTAAATATGACACATCACCCAAACCACGTCAATGTTTATAACGTACAGGGATTGAGGAATGACGAATGTAATATTCATACCGGAATATATGTTCGGAACTGAGTTATTGCGGTGTACGAGTATTTTCAAATTGTGTATAAGCCTCACCACGATACTTTGGACAATTGTTTAATTTCCAAATAAAGTATCACAATTCCCATGTTAAAAGAATTTGAAAAATAATATTCACAACTGAAAAAAATGTTTATTCACCATAAAATGACTGTTCAGGATCGACAATAGAACTAACTACATTTATATGTGATCAATTTGTCTTTTGGACAATGAAATATATTTAATGAAAACGTCAAAAGGATATCGATTTTGGTGAACATTTTCGAAACGTGTGTCATGGACCTGTATGCATGGGCCAAGCTGACACAGTAGACCTTCTTTCCCCTCAGTATTCTCATTCCCATGGGAATTCTGGGTGTCAGAGAGGGAATCACACTAACCCGCACCGCCCTTATAAATATGCATCACTAGGATACTCTCAATGAATCGGGGCGGTCGGGTAGCCTAGTGGTTAAAGCGTTCGCTCGTCACGCCGAAGACCCGGGTTCGATTCCCGTCATGGGTACAATGTGTGAAGCCCATTTCTGGTGTCCCCCCGCCGCGATATTGCTGGAATATTGCTAAAAGCGGCGTAAAATCAAACTCACTCACTCACTCAATGAATCAAGCCAAATATAGGTCACACCGTGAAAAAATGTTCACTCATAAGGTCAGTCACATTTTAATTCACACCATTTTTCTCACGCTCAGAGTACCTTTTTTGAGTATATATACACTGTGTTAACATTTCAGCTGGATCTCTGATGTCTCCTAGTTGCTGAAAAGTGGATGTTTTTCAGCTAAAGCCGCCTCTTGAATCCGGGCCACCAACAATACAAATGCCGATACATGTACAACGACTAACCGAAATCATTACGAAACAATTTTTATTTGAGCGAGTGAGTGTGTTGGGTTTAACGCCACTTTTAACATTATTCAAGTTATATCACGGCGTGTCAGCTTATTGTGGGGAAAGCCCGAAGTAATGCATGTCTCAGACGTTTACCACTTTGGTGAAACCCACGAGCACGGGTATGGTGCTGACAAACCTCGAAACGTAATCGGGGCGAACCAGGATTCGAACCCACAATCATAGGTTTCTTGCGTGCCCAAGGGACGCAACTCTGCACAGCGAATTGTGGCGCCTTAGACGACTGGGCCATCCATGCCCCATTTTATTTGAAAATACTCTGTACACAAACTATTAATAAACAAATGAGCGCATTGTTTTTTTATACACTTTTTTTTTAAGCTGTGTCCGTGCACATTTGAACCCGGGTTAGTGTAGAGTCGACTTATAAATGAGAATTGGGTGGTCAAAATGTGGGACATCGTACCTCGACGGTATCAACAATTTACATACATGATTGAGCTGGAATCTTGTTAACTGCCATGCAAAATGAACATGCACTCAGAAGATATGGCCCCCTGAAGATTCGGGTTAGAAAAGGTCTTCAGCAACCCATGCTTGAAACTAATGGGGTCAGGTGGTCAGGCTCGCTGACATGGTTGATGCATGTCATCGTATCCCAATGCGTTGAATGATACTCATGATATCAATCACTGTATTGTCTTGTCCAGACTCGATTATTTATAGAGCGCCGCCATTTAGCTGGAATATTGCTGATAGAGTAGCGGCCAACCCTTAAAAAGAGGCTTATTTAAGGAGTAACCCCTCCCCACAGTAGAACAAAGCACAACCACATGTTTCTTCACAAGATGTCATTTATGCATTAGAAAATGATGGTTGTGGTGATTTTGTTTGGTGGCAGGCATGTTTTTTGTTGGTATAATGCACATTTGTTTGTCAAAATTAAGTAAATCAAATAAATGGCTCTAAACAAGTCAGATTGCATATTGCAATGTTCATTTATAAGCAAAAACAGTGTGCTGACTTAGGAAACCTACAATAGAACAATAAGTCGAGTTATGGGCCAAAATGTGTCAAAAACAGGAACAATCACTCAATTTTCATTTTCAAAGTATTACAAAACTAAAGATAATGTAACCTCCATAGTGACAATCATGTCGTGTGGTATCTTAAAATCTGCCTGAAAGTTTTAGGAGCTTATGAAAAATTCCACAATTAATGTCGGTATAATAATATGTATGATAATTTAGTAAATGTGATACCACCACCCCACCCCACCCCCCCCCCCCCCCCCCCACCCCCCCCCCCCCCCCATTCCTATTAAGGAAACAACAACAACAACTATATAATAACATATTTAAAAAGATACTAGACAATACTAACATTCTTGTTCACCGATTTGTTTTATTTGAACACATGAATTGTTTAAGTGTCTTACAATTATGAGCTTCAGAAATTTGATTCATCCAATATGGCGGACAAAATGGCCTCCAAGATTGTCGCCAATACAGGAAAATGACATTATTTCGTCTTCGCTTCGGAATGTATGAGAAATTTTAATGTCAAAATTTAGGTTTCGACTAGGAACTCCCTCTGTCGTGTTATTGTCATATATAAGATAATTATCGCCTATGTTATGTACTATAATTGCTGATCATATTGACTTACTTTGAAGTGTCAATGTGAAGCACTTATATGCAACTGCTTCAATATTGTCAGTAACTCATTACCGAATCCGTTATTTTTCTCCAATAAAGTTAAATACATTTATTCTCTGCCACCACTGCCACTGTCACTCAAGCCTTCAGGTTCATATGACATATGACATGTCACTGCAGATGAGATGAGTGATATATTAGCAGCCATTTTGTCGCCTGAAACATTGGCTCTCAACATGTGTTGCTTGAAAGCACCTTCTATAGGTGGAACATTGTAGCTGCCTTGTCAGTGTTAGAAGTCTGGACATAGCCTAGGCCATCCAGGGTGTTCAAAAGTATAGCAGGAGGACGAATGCTCTAGCTGAGTTTAGGGACATTTCTAGGGGGCTCAATCCAAACTGACAAGTTCTTCAACATTTCAACATGTGTCATCACGGTCGAGAAAGCTGTCTCTTTGAATTAATAATCAGACATCATCATAAGCATATCACGTTTCACAATGTTCTTCTAGATCACAATTACCAGCGTGCAACCGCCTTTCACGATTTACATACAAATAAATAACAGAGAATACCCAGTCTCGATTATCTTAGCTCAATGCAATTACGCCATTGAAGATTGGGTCCAAAGCAGTTTATCGTTAAGTTAGAATGTGAGTTCAAATAAGTTTCCTAAGATCTTATCATTATCTCAGCTAATATTTAGTCACCTGATATGATCTCTGTCTTCACATTAGAGGTAGGCACACTCGACCGTCCCACCATCCACTCTCTCTAACCCTCTAAACCGTTTAAACAGTTTGGTACTTGGTGCATCTTGCTCTGAGATGCTTACGGCAACATCAACACAGAGCAAGATATTCAACATGTCCGTTCACTTTGTACATTTCTACAATCCTTGCTCGACTATTGCTTGCTGTTGTATTTATCAAAGCCATGTGATGAAATATTCAGATAATCAAAATATTTAATGTCTACATGTGTTTCGACTGGACTTCACACGACGGTTATGTTCAAAGCATGTTGATAGTTTGGGATATTGAGCCCCTGACATGTGCTACATGTCATTAACGTGTAGAGTTGAAACACACAAAGATTTTATTCCTTTCAGCGACATCAATCCAAACCCTGTTTACAGCTAGGTACATGTATGTTGCAAACCTATTTTATACCATAACACATTATTACAGTCTATAAATTTGGTAACATCTTATACACGACTCTTAAAATTCAGTATTGCAGCAGATAACAGAACAAAATATTTTTAAGAAAAGTTATAAAACGTCAACACCAGAGAACAACCAGTCTCGATTTTCCGCCAATACAGATTCTATTGGGCGTAACAGCAAAATAGCCGTGACAATTATATGGATGGATCACTGAAATGGGTGAACAAGGCAAACATGTCCTGCCCTACCGGTAACACCTGCCACTCACACAATTTGCATAAAGGTAAGCGTTGTATGTTGCCTTCCGTGCTACGGTTGTCTTTAAAGAGACCAGAGAATCAAGTAATGGACCAGACAGAAACTCCAGTGAACCATAGTTTATTTACTGCTTTGTATGGAAACTAAAAACCGATATGTAAATTTTAATTACGTCTGCCAAGTGTGTTTGGAACGCAGCATGGCTACACAGCCACAATATTATTTTTATGCCATGAGTAAAGATATTTCTGGGTTATATCTCGATCATATTTATCTGTTGTTTTATTTTTGACTGCATTTGACAGTCTAGTCATAATGAATTGTACGCATTTTGTGTTTCAAGTGACTTTCTCTTATGAAGAATCATGTATGTAATTACAAATATAATCATACAGTACACTCCTTGGGTATTGAGAGCAATAGTGTATTCATAAATGTTCCGATATATGTCAGATTATGAGGTTTAGACACCTTTAGGTAGTCTATGAATGGCATTTTGAAGTGATACTCATAAAGAAGAGAATTTATGGATGT